TGCCGCTACAGCGCTGTGATCTTCTACTGCTCCATGTACATGGGGATCCTCTTCATGGGCTTAATTAGCCTCGAGCGCTACGTCAAGATTGTCCGAACCTCCCCCTCCTCCATCACCGCCACCTCCTGCAGGACAGGAGTAGCCAGGATCTTTTCCCTGCACCACCTGCAGAACCCCAAGTGTGCCCGGGTGTTGGCCGTCCTCTCTTGGACCCTCCTCGCTGTTTTCCTCATGCCCAACAGCTTGATGACGAGCAAGCAAGCCAACGAGGAAAACGCCCGCAAGTGCATGGATCTGAAGACGGCGCTGGGCAAAAAGTGGCACCAGGTGTCCTCAATCTTCAGCGTCTCAATGTTCTGGGTGACTCTGGCGGTCCTCGCCTTCTGCTATGCCTCCATCTCCCGCCGCATCTACCAGTCGTACCGCCGGGTTCGCTGCGATAACAGCGACGTCTGCCGCAAGTCCAACCGGAGCATCTTCAGCATCCTGGTGGTGTTCTTCATCTGCTTTGTGCCGTACCACGTCTGCCGCATCCCCTACACGCTGAGCCAGATGCCGGAGTCGGGCTTCAGCCGGTACGCCCGCTTCCTGCTGCTGCAGGTGAAAGAGGGGACGCTCTTCCTGTCAGCACTCAATGTCTGCCTCGACCCCGTCATCTACTTCCTCATGTGCCGAACCTTCAGAGAATCGCTGCTGAGAAAAGTGTCGCGGCGAGAGAGGAGGAGGAGGAGGTCCTTGACCACGGCGCAGAGTCTGAGCAACATTTAGGAGGCGAGGAGAGGAGGAGACCCCTGACCACGGCTTGCATTTAGGACGAGAGAGGAGGAAACCTAAATGTTGAAGCTGAAATCATGTATTTTTTTATTTGCTGTAATAAAACTGCTCTCTTCTGTTTGTTTCTCGGTCTGATAGAAATCAGGAGTTTTATGTGTAAAATAGAAAGAGACATGAATGTATATTTTTATTCCTTTATGTGTACATAAGAGAAGTATTCAGAGCTTCAGTTCTTGGTTTTATTTATTGTTCTGACCAAAAGCAGGACAGAGAGGACAGGAAAGGACAGCGAGGAAGAGGAAGCGTTGACGTGGAAGTGAAACTGAACTGTGATGAGTGGGCATCAAACCTGCAGCATTAAAGTCCGTTCATGCAGAATCTGCTGATTTGCTCACGAGTCGCCTCTTTTTAGAAGCGCGTGTCAAACCGCAGGACGAGCAGCAATCTGTGATGTCATAGCGTTCCTGCTGTCAGAGTCGTTACAACTGCTTTATGACGTCTGTATTTTAAATAAAGCTTTTCTTTCTTCTAAAATAACTCCTATTTAGTCATGTTTTTATTCTCTGCTCACTGCAGCTGATGCCTCTCTGCTGCCATCAGGTGGTCAAATCTGTCATTACATGTTTGTTTGCAGGTACACGAGGAGCAGAGTGGGATAAAAAATATTAATAACTGTTTTGCTGACATTTTAAAATCCCTCTTTTTAAAGTAAATTAAATGCACCTTATTTAATTTACTTTAAAATAGTACCTGTTCCTCAAAAACACAAAGTTAAAGGGGGAAAATGGAGTGTAATGGAACCCTGTGACCAGTAGAGGGCGCCGATGACATTCCCAGTAAAGGTATTGTAAAATCACACATGGCCAGTCTGAATCACAGCCCTGCTGAGCAGAAACACAGAATTTAACTCACATGTACACGTCTATCTTTTAATAATGATAATTTTTTAAAAATAAAAGCATTTTAAAACAGAAATGGAGCCTCATCCATCGCCTGCTTTAAATAAACAGAGGACAGTTCATCACTTATTTACACAGGAAGCAGAAATAAAGTTAAACACAGTGAATATGTAGCTGTTTGTCTCATAAAGTGGTCATGTCTCACTTTACTTTTACTCTCATTTTAAAATCCCTCTTTTTAAAGTAAATTAAATGAGGTGATAGTACCTGTTCCTCAAAAACACAAAGTTAAAGGGGAAAAAATGGAGTGTAATTGAAACCTGTGACCAGCAGAGGGCGCTGATGACATTCCCAGTAAAGGTATTGTTAAATCACACATGGCCAGTCTGAATCACAGCTGTGACATCAAAAACACATATTTTGGGAGTTTTTAAAGGCAGCAGTGACGAATTGAGACTGATTGATGTTACAGCTGTTTCTGTCATCTTTTGGTGTGTGTGTGTGTGTGAGCACGCAGATAAGCATTGATCATGAACAGAGACAGATGTGATGAAGCGATGACAGCAGCAGACGTGCAGGATAAACTTGGACCGTGTGCAGTGACGGGAGTTGGAGCTTCAGGTTAAACTCATGATGCTCGTTAGTATCATTTGAGGAATTCCTCCTTCCTGTACAGCAGCCATCAGCATATAACCTCGAGCAGCAGCATTTGCAAGATCATCACATCAGAGCTGTTTGCAGTGAGTATCTCACACCAGAGAGACACAGGGAGAAGGAGGGGGCAGGGGTCATGACTTCATGTGAAAGTCAAACATCTACCTCCCTGTTTGCCGTTACCGAATCCTCCCACAGATTCCAGCTCAGTGCCGAGGTTAGTCAGTGAATCAAAGAGCGATTGTGTGCATGCAAAATCAAAAGAGAAACCGAACGCTCCATTAGCCAGCCAGCATGACAGAGAGGAGAAGAGCCCGTGAAAGGTTTCAGCAGGGCTGCCCGACCTGCTCAGGTGAGCTGCATCCTTAATCACCGGGTCAGCTCCACCCACCGATTACTTGGAAGAGATGGAGAGATAAGGTGAATGCTGAGAGCAAGGCCAGACCTGTCGCTGTCACCGCACAGGTGAAGAAATCACAGCCAGCCGATGATGGAAAATCTGATGAATGAACGCCGAGAGTCCTGCTGCTCGGCTCAGTCTGGGAGAATCCCCGTAGAAAGATTTCTTCATGATCGTTATTCCAAAAACATGTCCTGACAGTTTGCTCTCCAGAGCAGAGACAAACCAGCCTGAGGCAGTTTGAATATTTCTGTGCTGCGCAGAGATCAGGCTGATAGGGTAACAGTCTCTCCCATCTGTGAACGGAAGACGTGATCTATTTAAAACTTTCCTCTCTTCTTTGGAAAAGAGAAAAAATCAGCATCTTTTAATCTGAAACCAGGCATTCATTGTGGCAGCAAGGTGGAGGTGATGGTGGGAACATGTTATTATACCCATAAGCACTTCTCAGTAACCTGGTCTTCCCCCTCGTCTGTTTGATGGTATCAAACCATCACTATTCAATTCAGTTTTATTTATACACCGACAAATCACAACAACAGTTAAGTTAAAGACCCTATATTAGTACAAATACAGAGAACACTTCAACAATCATATGACCCCCTATGAGCAGCACTTTGGCGACAGTGGGAAGGAAAAACTCCCTTTTAACAGACATCTACTGTGATAAAGTCTACTCTCCACTGCTGTGTAATCAATTATTGTAAATGTAAATGTTATCAGGAAATGATCAGACAGCAGAGGGTTTTCAGGAAACACTGATAAATGTTCAGTTTGAGCCCGTTCTCACTCCCGAGGCGTAACATGCCGACGTTTTGTCACGTCCCGCGGCGTTCCTGAGGAACGC